TTTTTCTGATCTTCGTGATTAACTAGACATCTGCAGATATTTTAGTATTTAATATCATGTATTCACATTCCCAAATATAATATGGTATCCAAGTATAGGTATGTACCTGTAAATTCATAATTACTTTGGCCATTTGTAATTCGAATTCACCTTACATACTGCCCTCTTTAACCCATTATATTTTATTCCCAGTGACACTAATTATGTCCGGGACCTTTAACATGCAAATGACAGTTTAAGTCTAGGCATCATGCTTTGAATACCTAAATCTCTTAAACTAAGGCTCTAATACCACTCTATAACACCCCCAAACACCACATTTGCATATAACACATATTTCATTATACAGAAATACAGTTTACACCACAATGGTTCCACTAATACAAGGATTCTTATATGTACAAAATCTACATATGAAAAATTCCAAAATAAAATCTTGTACTATTACATGTATAACAACATATATCATCTAAAATAAGCAATCTTATGCAGATCTCCAAAAGCAGATATCAGATTTAGGAAAATAATCACATTTTCCCTTTCCCTTTAATATCCCTTTACCAAGTGGTTCTTGCATTGCATATTTTAAAAACAGAAAATGAGGGTTAGACCAGACGGGTCTAGTGAGTAAATCCCTTCTTTGCATATGCAGGATGATAAACACCAAAATATGTTAAAATAACTTTGCTCACAAATATCTACATTTCAACCAAACAATGCAGCTCTTCAATATGATGAATGATAGGATAAACTTATTAGTGACACTTCTTGATACAAATGTATCTGCTTAACAAATTTAATAATTCCAAAATGGAATTAATATTGCAGCCAAAGTCTTTTTGATTCATCAGACTAAAAACATCATCTTTTAAAAGATCAGAATTCGTCTGTATGTATTATACATATTAAGGGAAATGATTTAAGGCAATACTTGCCTTTTGTGACAAATTATTTTCCCCTTCTCAATAACATCTAATAGAAATAATATCTCTATTCATCAGGTCACAAATAAATGATGATTCAAAGTTATTAAATCCAATTAGTAATAATAATAAGAGTTATAATAATATCCACATATAGCAATGTCTCCCTTATTCCAAGTACACCTCTCCTGATATGCCACCCTTATTCCTCCATGAAAACAGGGCTACTTATAAGAACAGACAAAAGTCACCACGTCTGAAAGTATCCATTCCCAGTTCTAAGCCAGAACAGACAAAAGTCACCACGTCTAGGGGAACTACGTCTTAAAACAAGTTTCATACCAAAACAGACATACGTCACCACGCTTGGTAGAAACAGTTTCCAGAATCCAATTCCAAACCAAAACAGACATACATCACCATGCTTGGTAGGAATGTTTCTCAAAATATAGTTTCATACCAAAACAAACTTACGTCACCACGCTTATTAGAAACATTTCCCAAAATCCAGTTACATACCAAAACAGACTTACGTCACCACGTTTGGTAGGAACATATCTTTTTTTTATTTAAAAAGATATAAAATACCTTTTTTCAAAATAACATAATTAAATCCAATAATAATATTTATTATCAAATTATAAAAATTCCAAGGGTTCTCAACACTTGTAAATTTATATCAAACATAAACATCCGGACAAGATATCCGGACCAGCTATCCGGTCAACAGTCCTTTGTCCGATTTATGAATCCGGACAATACATTCTTGTCCGATCTATCAATCCGGACAACATAAACAAGTCCAATCAAAACTAAACCGGATGACCTTTAATCGATTTATAACTAATCCGCACAACACTTGATCGTATTCCTACTTCTCCGGTCAAAACCATTATCCGGTTTACGTATTTCAAAATTCCACCAACTCACTAAATCGCATAATATTATGTCCGATCTATAGCTAAATCGGACAACACCTATCCGATTTAAGATAAACTGGACAACACTATGTCCGATTTAGAACAAACCGGACAACCCTTCGTCCGATTTATCATTAACCCGGTCACCCCTTTGTTCCGAATTAAGAGCCCAAATCAGCTTTGAGATTTCTCTAAGATTAATACACCACATACATTAAAACCAATAAAACTTGTATGAAATAAGTTTAGAAATTACTCACCTCTCATGCAAATTTTCAGGTTTGAAACAGATGAAGAATGCAAGATCAATATGCTTATC